CCCCGCATGAGCTCTGTCATCCTGACATCGGACCCATAACGTAGAACACATTGGCGGGCAGCCCTGGAGACGACAGGCCACGTTCTCGGTGGTGGGAGCTCTGCGCCCCGCTCTCCTGGGACGCTCTGCTGGCATTGTCCCCCTCGTTCCCTCTCAAGGTCCAAGTTCACAGGCTTCAGACACTTCCAACCTCCCTCAGTAGAGCTGGAGGGTGGGCAAGACGCAGGCTGTCTATCTTGAAAGTCACGATTCAGCTGACAACGTGAACCGGGAAGATTCTGAGGCAGCAGAAACTTTATCGCAGGGTGGCTGACTCTCTGATTCTTTAAGACGATCGGCCTCAGCATCATCAGAGGCTGGCAGAGGAGCTGCTGAAGCGTGAGGCCGCTGTCCAGCCCGCCTCCCAAAGACTAACTCCCCTTCCCCAACCCCCGGCCTGTGGGGACGGGCAGGGCCTTTCTGCAAACTGAGCAGGATGCTCGTCACGTCACGCAGCCCGCCCGGACACACCTGCTTTGAGCAAGGAAGCCCCAGAGACCGTGGCCCCAGGTGAAGGTGAGGAGACTGGGGCTGGGCAGACTGACTGAGGGCAGGGCCCTGGGGTGGGGGGTGGAGGAGGGCGTTGGAGACCAGGAAGGCTGTGACCTACCAGAAGTACCACAGCCTCTGGATGGAGAGGGCCCGCACGCAGCACCTGGAGCCGCAGCAGTCCTCGTAGGGGCGGCATCTGTAGGAGAGAGGGGCACAGGCTGGTCAGCGTCCTGGGGCAGAAGGAAGGGCCAGACTTGTCATGAGATCCGGGGAGACGCCAGTGCAGAGGACAGAACTGTCCCCGCTACAGTTCACACAGCCAGCCGAGCTGACCGCTGTCCGTCTGGTGGCGTAAACGGAAGGAAACGGTCAACGGAATTCGAAGCACTCCGCTAACTGCACACCCCGCGTGCCACATCACAACGGCTCCCCGCTGGGGGGGCGCCGGGACCAAAGGCCGGCACGCCACCTCCGGCTCTGCAACCAGAAGGCAGCCTGACGACAGACCAGCATCTACACGCCGTGCGTCCTGCTCAGGCCTCCAGCCCCGACGACATTTGAAAGCCGGGCCAGTGCCCTGACAGTCCCGTGCGGTTAAAGCCAGAGGTTACAGAGTCACAGGGGAGGTTCGGTCCTGGCCCTGCCGCTTAGGAGCAGCGGGACTTCGGGCCAGTGATTCGACCTCCGAGAGCCTCAGTGTCCTCATGAGCAAAGGGGGTGGGCGGGCAGGACCCCTTCGCGGTGCTGCTCTGCGTGTGAAGGCCCCACCCCCACAGGAAGCGCCCACGGGGCTGTCCTGCTCTCAGGGGCTCCACCCTGGGCAGGCTCAGGGGCTGTTCGCGCCCCAAAAAGAGAGGCCCTGGGGAGGACAGGACCCCTCGCAGGCCCCAGGGGTCAGCTCGGCCTCCTTCACCATCTCTGCCACCCCCCCACACACCTCCCACTTTACATCTTTGATTAAAAGGAGACGCTGTGACAGCTCAGGCCCTTCGCTTTCTACACAGAAGCTTTCGCTGGAGCATCTGAAGTCCAAGTGGCAGTGGGTGGCAGGGAGGGGCACGGGTGAGCCGTTTCTCAGTATTAAATAATCACATAATTGTGACCTAGGTTCCTGCCAACTTTCTTCTTAAAAAAAAAAGAGGCGAAATACAAATTTGACCCAAGAACTTGGACACAGTTTGTAGATCGTTCCAGAACAAAATGGTTTGTTTTATACAGGAAAAAAAAAAAAAAAACTCCCTAGAAAACATCAGTTCAGACAGACAGTGAGGAGCTGGGAGGGGCCCCGGCCGCCCCGCACCCCAGTGCTCTGTCCTTGCGGTCCGCTCCGGCCAGGCCAGGCCGAGGCCACGGGGCTCACTTCGACCTCCTCAAACGCCCCGCACCGAGTGCTGCTAAATCCTCTAACGGTTCAAATTGAGCTGAGAAGCCCCCGCCTGACCACCAGCACCGCACGCACACACACGCGTGCACATGCACACACACGCGTGCACACGCACTCACATGCACGCACGCACACGAGTGCACACACATATGCACGTGTGCACACACACGTGTGCACACACACCCACACGCACACGTGCACACGCACGCACACGCACACGGCATTCTCCACAGGACACAGACGTCTCCACGTCCCGTCCTCCCGTGGTCCATGGGGTGCTCCCATATGTGAACGCCACAGGCCAATCTGTGCGACTTGCTGTAACCGACATCTAGCAGAGCCCCCGAAACGCGTGTTTAGAGGTGCTGCTGGTTCTCACTGCCATCATCTGACAGGTGGCCGCCGAGGCGCTACGAGAAAGCCAGCTTTGCTCTGTCCCCGGGCGCAGCATTCAAACCGCGAGGGCGGTGCCCAGCGTGGAGAAGCTTCAAAAAAAGTGAAGAGCACGTTCATGAAGGAACAGGCCCCAGAGTCGCCTCCTGGCGGCCAAGTACCTTCGCCACATCCCACGATCCACAGGCCAGTTTCTGATAAGGTCAGGGAATGGCGCGGTCCACTCTGAGCAGGTGCTAATGGGTGACGAAGCACATCGCAGAGGTATAAACCGCGGCGCCTGGCCTCTCTGCCCCGTAAATGACGTGATCCTGAGGATGAACAATGTAGAAGGACGCGTACGTCTGGAAGTGCATCCGCCACAAGCTAGAAATGTGTCATGGCAGCGGTTAGATGCACGTATAACAGCAAGGCCTCGCTGGGAGGTCAGGACAGCTAAGTAAGCCCTGGCCATGGGACACATTTATTCTTAAAAAAGAAAAGGGGGCCAAATGTTAATATGTAAACATTTTTGTGCAGTGTAAAATGGTAATTCATACTTAAACTGGTTTATGGAAAATCATGTCAGCATCCAGTGGAACCACTAAAATATGAGTAAATAATAAAAAAAAGATTTAAAAAATAGAAATAAAATATGAGAAAAGTATTGAGGGTGGCGGTCTAGAGATGAAACTTGAGAGGTTGTAATTTCTTTTGGTGTCAAATAAAGATAGCGCATGACTAAAAAAAAAAAAAATAGGGATTTAAGGAAATTCCTGTCAAACCCGTTTCATTTAAAAGGCCAGTCCTTTCTCTCGCTTGTTGGATTAAGTCTCAGCAGACCACCCTCTCCCTTCCAAGTTCCCGCCAGGACACATTTTTTCCCTTGTCCAACCCCAAGTTTCTGAGCTTGACAGTGGTCTGTCTCCTCGGTTTACACTGTCTCGTGACATCTGGACCGGCGTCTTACACTACTTGTATTATCATCTGTGTTTTCCCACAGAGCAAAGCACCCAGCAGAAGCACGAAGGCTTCTTGAGTTAGAATCGGGAAAAATACTCGGGGTACCAGAGGCCTTCAAGTAACCTGTGAGAAACTGGGCTCCTCGGAAAAACTAAACAGAGCCCTACAAGGCCGAGAGAAAACTCCGAGGGACAGAGCGGAGGGCAGCCGTGTCCCCAGCCCCGGGCGCATGCCCGCCGTGACCGTGGGCATTCCTCCGGGGCGGAGTCTGAGTGTGGCCCCACGGGTCCCGTTACCAGCTCCCAGGGGCCCCACGGAACAAGCCAGCCCCTTCCAGCGCCTGAAGGGCTCTCGCGGCTCCCTGAGCTTCCTGTCCCCAGGAGCGTGGGCCTGGCTGGGTACAGCTTGGTGTCCCGTCACCAGGAAGAATGCCATGCCTCCCGGTGGCATACGCGCTCCAGCCGCAGGCGGCACTCGCGTTTTTAGCAACCAGAAGGGGGCTGAATCCTAATGAACTCTCCATCGACTAAAATTTCCGAGCTGTGGTCCGCGCTGACTTCCCGTCCTGCACACGTACAGTAGGGCTTGGGGACCTAAATATAGGATCTTGGTTCCCCATAAAAAACCTCACGCTTAGGAAATCTCGTCCATTACTTTAGCCCTGGCAGCCTCACTTTGACACTCATTCGGTCACTATTCCTTCTGGTTTTCTGCCATTTAAATCTGAGTCAACTTTTGTTGAAACCCAGGAACGCTGAATAGGACCCGGCCAATTCCGTTCCTCCCGAGCCATGATCCCACAGCCGATGACTCAGCCCAGGGGCGTCCACAAGTCCACGGTGAAGGCCAGGTGGAGAATGAGGCTTAGGTCTAAAGCAGAGTGGCCTACGCCCTGAAGCTGTAACCCAAAACCGAAGATCTTCCCCAGGTCCCACAAGCCGCAGGAGTAAGAAAATCAAAGGAGAAGAGAGAAGGCCCCCCGCAGAGCACAGGCAGGGAGAAGGCTGGGTGGGTGGGCGCAGGACTGGGGGGAGGGCGAGGCAGGGAGAGAGGGAGGCCGGCCCATGTGCGTGCAGGTGACCCCGGGCTTCCCACCAGCTGTCCTGGACACTGATCAATCCAGGCCGGATAAAAGAAAGGGGAAGTGAATCGTATGGCATTTGAATTACGTATTAATTTAAAAAGGAAGAGGAAGTGGCCAGAGGCTGCCTCTCCCTATAACTTGTGAATATCATCGCTATTCATTCAAATCAATGAGAAAATATTGATGATGGAGCCAACGGTAAATTCCATTAGAGAACTTCCTTCGATGTTGATATTTTATTAATCATAATTTCATAAGTGCAGCTATTATGCCAGGAACATATCTACCTAACTGGCCTATTTATTTAAACCAGAATTTTTTTTTTTATTTATTTAAACCAGAATTTCCTATCTTATCAGCTGAGAGACTGAGTGCAGCTATTATGCCAGGAACATATCTATACCTAACTGGCCTATTTATTTAAACCAGAATTTCCTGTCTTATCAGCTGAGAGACTGAGTGAGATGCTATCGAATATCTCCCCAAAACTCAGACACACCCTCAAGTCACAGATCTCTCAGTCTGATGGTCCCACGGAAAAACTGAGCCTACTGCACGGGTCACAGTGCAAGGGGCAGGGGTCAGAGTGCAAGGGGCAGGGGTCAGAGTGCAAGGGGCAGGGGAGCCTCCGTTATAAAAGCATCACTTCCTGATACCATCGCCCAGTTTTCATCTTCCGTCCGTGTCCTTTTAAAATCCCAGCTGAGTGGCTACTTGCGTCCTAGGCACGAGGACATCCTGGGCACTCCCTGCTCTTTCCTCCTAGACAGGGGCATCTGTGATCTTCATAATGTTTCAGAGTTTCCCCTGTTTAAAAAAAAAAAAAGGAGATGACAGGCCCCAAATGGAGTCGCTCGTGTTCAGGTCACGTCATCGAAATGAAATTCGGTACCTCGCTCATTACAGATTCAGCCCCTCTCACGAGAATAATCTTAAGCGGTCGGTGTGGAGTGCCCTGGTCAGCACCAGTGGGGGGACCTGGCTGGCAGAACCCCCTCCCCAAAGAAAGGCGGCCTCTTTGCTAGAAACTGCCCCGCCTTTTCCCATTTCCCACGGCTCCTCCTCGGATCCCCTCTGTGCTTCTGACAGGATGCTGCCCACCTCGTGAATCACCGAACAAAGCGCACTGCATCATTCGATCCCCTCGGCTGCATTTGGTCGTTTAGCCGCTAACCCACCGAGGCGCTTCCCGCTCAGACGCCTGTCGGTGAGTCACAGCCGCCTGAACCCATCATCCTCCAGCCTCCTCCTCGCCAAGTCCACCTTCCTGTGACAAGCTGCCAAGTGAATCATGCAAAAATCTGTTCATCAGCCCTGTTTTAAATGTTAGAACAATAGGTAAGGAACAGTAGGCGCTCCATCGTAACAACAGAACAGAACGGGCCCTCCCTCGGTGTGTGACGATTGTGGGGGAACGTGTAAGTGAATGATGGTGCCTCCCCCAGGGAGTGCTCTGTTGCTGTGAGGAACGATGAGGCTGCTCTGTGTGCTGGTTTACAATACGGAGTTGATGAAAAAAAAAAAATCAAGTTACAGACTATGTACAAACATGACATTTTAGGGGTTGGTCCATTCAGGCCGCTGAAACAAAACACCACTGACTGGGCGGCTTAGAAACAACAAAAGTTACTTCCCCCAGTTCCGGAGGCTGAGAAGTCCAAGATCACGGTCACGTCCTCATGAGGGCTCCTTCCAGCCACGGCCGGTGCCTGCTCGCCCTGTCCCCCCACTGCGGAAGGGGCAGGGGGCCCTTTTTACAAGAGCATGACCTCCTAACACCATCACCTGTGGGGTTAGGGTCCGAAGCGTGCACTCTGGGGACACGGGCAGGCAGACCAGAGCAGGAGTCCAGAGCTCCCAGGGGGGTTCACCAGGAAACTTTCTCCCTGTTCTGAGGGTGAGAAAATGCCTCCAGCTTACACCAGGAACCTGCGGGGGAAAACCCACAAGAACCCAGAGAAAAGAGAATTCTTTAGACTCTCTGTCCCCAGACCAGACACGTCTTCTTCCTCAGGCAGCTAACCTAAGGCTGTGCCCACAGGCGTGGGCAGGAACGCACAGCGAAGGACCCAGCCCCACCCATCACCCTTTTCTGCCCCGAAAGCTTCCAGCATTGCTGGGGGGTGGGATTGGGCACAGGGAGGCCCGCTGACCCCACACAGAGAGAACGCCGTCAGGCCAGGAGGGAGGGGTTCCCCAGCGTCTCCTAATGGTCAGGGGTGGCCTTGTGTCTCAGGGCCCTGGAACTGACCCTGGCATCTCCCCCTGTAGCAGGCAAGTAGGGCAGCCCGGCCGGTTCTGGGAGCTCCCTCTGACACCCGCGAGCGACCCTCACATCATTCATTATTGACTGCAGAGAAGCAGGCCCAGAGAGACACCATGAGCCAGAGTGATGCGATTACTTTGACAGAAGCTTCACACTCCAGTGGGGGTGCTTGGGAGTAGGGCCTGAGAATAACCTGATTAATATAATAATCAGTAGCTGGAGAAGGGCAGAACCGGAAGGAGCAGCCTGCCCAGCGCCGGGCACGTGCTGCTGCCGGGTACGGGGGGCCGTGAGCTCCTGCAGGGAGGGCCCGCTCCATCACCTCTCCCCCCGACATCCTGGCAGGCTGGCTCGGTCCCCCTTTCGGGGCAAGGTGGGAGGAACTGATGCATGACCCACTGGGTGCACCCCTGCATCCTGCTTCAGGTAGCCTATCTCCCTTTTCTATCCGACCAAATGCTTCCCTCACACCTGTTCCCAAGGTTTTCTTCGTGTTCTAAGATACAGATAAATCAAGGACCACCTTCGGGGCCAAACCTTTGCCACCTGCCAGCTCCCCAGAGGGCCACTGGCTTAGTCTCGCTTTTAAATCACTGGTGTCTCGTCAAGAAGACCCGACCCAGGGCTAAGCTACCGACCACTTTCTGGGAGGAATCGCCAGATGCATTTCCATTCGTAAAGGACAGGAAACCTGCGCGTGCAAATCACCCGTGTTCTCTGGCTTGTTGAAAATCACGTGACGCCAGTCCAGGTCTGAAAACGCCCACGCGGCTGCCTGCTGGGGAGCCCCAGCTCAGCTCCTAATGAGGTGATCGGGAGCCTGAAGATCTGGATGGCGACGGGGCGCCTCGACCCACCTCTCAGCCCGATGCGTGATTAACATCTTTTTCCCATTGTCTTGTCAACGCTAAGACCCGCGGAAGAAAGACAGCTCGCTCGTTTGCGAGGAAATGTTAGGCGGCTGCTTCGTCCTTGGCAAGCAGGTTGGACCGATAATGAGCTCCAACCCATCTCACGCTTGTACACGCGTCTCTGCTACAACACACAAGCCTGCGACACCGAGCATCTTTTATTCGCTGTGCTCTAAATCCTTCTGTGCAGCCGGCCAGAGGGAGCCATAGAATCGGCAGGATCGGACCTCGGAGGTCATCCGGAGGTTAGGAGATTTGTCCGAGGTCACACAGCAACCTGGCGGCAGGGCGGGACTGGAGGTCCCTAAAACACCTCCCATCACTCACCTGCGTCGCCAGAATCGGCTTTTCCTTCCCCGGCCCTTCTCCAGGCCCCCGTTCCCGTTCCCACGTGTGCTCCGAGGGCCTGCTAGGTGCCGGGCAGTGTGTCACCACAGATGACAGGAAAATGAGAGAGACGGAGCTCCTGCCCTCACGAACTCCCAGTCTAGGGACGAGACGACGGACCTTTCATTTCGACAACGGTAAATCAGACGATGGAGCAGGGCACCAACAGCCCGAAGAGGCACAGCGGCCCTCAGCCGGAACCGGCAGGAGGGGAGAGAGGGGCCCCCAGCAAGCTTCCTGCAGAAGACCGGCGTGCCCCCAGTAAATGCCAGCTGTGACGACTTTCAGTCTTTGAGTTATAACTATATCCCCTGACGCCACGAGGCCGCATCTCAGCTAGTCTGGGAAAAGCCGGGGACACGCTCTGCTCCGTCTCGGTCTGGGGTGGAACATGGAGCCATGGGTGGAATCCTGGTGACAGCTGGAGGGTGAGCTGAGGCTGTGAGGTCCTGCCAGCCTCCATGTGAGGCTCGTCCACCTCTGTCAACTCCGGAGATGGCCTGAAGTCCCTGGTCCCTCACAGCTGGACACTCACCGCGCCTGTGCCCAACGCGGATCACCTTCCTCCTGCTTCCGCCTCCCACCTCCACTCCGGGGGACACAGGTCCTTCTGCGGACGGCGGCTGTGGGCAGGACAGCCCCTGGGAAAAGCTGTGGAGCCTCGGGCCACAAATCTCAACGGAAAAGGTGGCATTTCGTGTAGACAAGAGAGACACCCCCCACCTGAGAGTCCCCTGCCCACGAAGGGGTCAGGTATGGTGTGGCGGTGCCTATCTGGGCACCCAGGAGCCCCTTACAGACATTGCGGACCAGCCGGGAAGGGCCCCCCAGGATCCCCAAGAGTGAGCCTCACGTCCAGTCCTCCTGCCCCCTTTGGGAAACAGTCCCTGAGTCCAGAGCCAGGGGTCCCCATCTGGTCCTCTGGACACAGACACACTGCCCCTCTCCAAGCCGTAATGAGACTGCAGATATTCATGACGCACGGACACGTGTCTGCCCTCACAGCGACTCAGGCGGCAGCCACGTCGACTCGGTAACGGGGCCAAGTGACCTGCCGAGGCCTGCAGCCGGTGACAGCAGGTGAGCCAGGGGCCCTCCCCTGCACCGCTGGCTGCCCTTCCTGGTGTCCGCCCGACAAGGACAAGGACTCGGCAGCTGCCCAGGCATCGAAGCAAGCGCCGGGGCATAAAACTGCATCCAGGCTCTGCTCCGACAAACGCCGCCCCTGTCTGCATGGCTTCTGAACTCTACGGACGCAGGAGGGCGGCGGCGTGCTCCCTCAGCTCTGTGCAGCCCTGTGCCAGCCACCGCCCCAGGAGGTGCTACGTGGCCGGTCCCCACGCGGACAGAAGGGCTGGAACGAGCAGGTCCTCTGCGGGGAACGACGCAGGTAGAGAACGCAGCGGAAGTGGGTTCGTGAGGCCGCACGACCTCCCTGCCACTTTACAATCACACTGTTGCTATGGGGAGACACCTAAGTACAAAACCAAAGCACAGAAAGGGCGCGTTTAGTTCAAAGCTTGTGAAAAGGCAGACTGTGGGGAGGAGAGGCAGGGAAGAGGGTGGGGGGACCAATCGGAGAAACGTGTGAAATAGACGTTGCTTCTGTGTTCACATCCCAAAGGGGCTTTTTCTTCAAAAATAAGCAGACAGATGTGTGTGCACGTGCACATGCAGGCCTCCAGCTCGACGATGGTAGGATAATAAAGAAATCAAAACGCCTTGAAGGGAGAGGGCGGAGCGAGAGAGAGCATCTGGCACGAAGAAATCAAAACAGGTGAGAGTAATTTTGTACGTCTCGGCAGCTATGGAAGAAACCTAAGTACCTTACGAACACTCAGCCTCTGCCAGCTTGGTAAGTGCAATGCCGGAATGACACTCAGATGCAGGACAGGGAGCTGTGGCATAGTGACACCTGGCGAGAGAAGCCGCATTAGATTTCAGGTGAAGAGTAAACGCTCTCAAACGAGGGTGAAGCTCGGTGTTCTCTACGCCTTCCCTGTGAGCCGTGGAAAATCATAAGCACAAAACAGGCGGCATTTGGAGAATGTTTTCTGCAGCGGGGGGGATGGTGGGGACCCCATAACAGAATAAAAGGATGCCATCCGATCAACCGATCTTTCACAAATTATCTGCTCTGGAGAATCTCATGGAAAGCACTTTGCCCAGAAGAAATGGAAGGTAAAATACACCAGGGCTGCATTTTTAAGTGAGGTCCGTTTTTAATTTGACGTTGTGGTGCTTCACAGTAAGTGGCCACACGCACATCATCTACCACAGCTCCCTGTCCCACGCCATCGGGCCCCCGCGACCCACATGGGACAGGTACTCGGCAAGTGTCTGTGGCCTAAATGAACGAAGCCGTCACCTCAGGCCCTGCAGCAGCAGCTGCACACTGAACACGGGTCCCGGGGCGGGTGTGGGGCAGCGTGGAGACCACGGGGCACCGGCCTGGATGCGAGGTCCTGATGCCCAGCCCCCCGCGAGGGTGAGCTTGGGCCGGATCCGGGTCTGCTTTACCTGGCACCACCATCTCGGCCACCTCCACAGAGACCAGGACGGGGACGGCTCGGGGACACAGGCTGCTCGCTCCCACGTCCTCCGGGGCCCAGGTGCGTGTAACCAGGGCTGGGATGTGTCTGTGGCCACCGTCTGGCCTGCGGCAAGCCCAGCCGCAGACACTTCTCGAGCACC